AAACCTCTTCTTCGAAGGTTATCCACGGTTAACGCTTGCCCCCTCACAACCGTCCACAATAAAAAAGCCACCCGAGGGGGCAATTTACATTGCCACACCTTCTTCCATGGGAATGAGCTCTGTACAGGATCTAATAGGGATCTAAAGTAAGAGCGAACTGAGAATATACCATTTTGTGCCAACCTCCACCTGCTACGATCACCTTCTCCAAACTGAATGTGCACCTCATGCAAAGAGGTCAAAAACAACGCATAATCATCTAATTCCCAATCCTGTAGACCCCTCTCAAAGATAGTATCCCAACTGTGACTTCCGTTGTGAATGGTGAGTACCTCACTCACCATAGTAGACGGCTCCAAGGCAATGCGATACAAAGCAGGAAATCGTATCTTTAGCGGATCATTACCACACCAACGGTCATCCCAAAATCTGATGTTATTGCCATTTCCCACCTCAAAGGACAGATTATCTCGAAAGTCACTCCATCCCCGACGGATATACCTCCACAGACTCACCCCATAGGATCCGCGACCGTCAATTGAGCACCAACCCCCCTCCATAATACCGATCTTCGCTCCTATGATTTCTCTCCAAAAACTCACCCTCTCCACTCCAAATCGCCATAGCCACTTGCCCAGTAAAGCCTTATTAAACAGTTTGACGCCTTCCGTGAATAATAAGCTGCAGTGTCATTGAGCAGTGCTGCTTCGAAATCGTTCTCATAATGCTCCATCTGCCCCATTCCAATTTCAACAAATATATCTAACACGTTCTTCAAAAAAGCGCGATCAATTTGCCATCCTTCTATCTCTTGGTCAATCTAGTAGAAAAAGATTGTTAACAAACTGAACAGAAAATGCAAACAGAATTGAGAACAACTGTAGAACTGACAGGGATCATACCAGAGATATAACAACATCCCATACTTTTGCATTTAACTCTTGGTATACCTGGAAGTAGAATTGAGAACCATCATTTCTTATAAACCCAAATTTTCAATTTTGTAGGGTTCAAACTCACTATAAGAAACAAACAACAAACCAAGCCTTATTTCGTACAGGAATTTCTTTATTCTTCTTTTTTTCTTTTTTTGACAAACTCATCCCGTAGAAATCTGATGACTGACAGTCTCTTCCATAATACAAGATTCAAACTTAAATTCTATATCCTAAACTAGACTACACAGTATTCAAACCAGCTTCCCCTCAATAGAAGACATTCAATATCAGAACATACAATAGAGTTATAGAGCAAGACCTAAAGGGCAGGTTATTGAAATTCCAAATTAATGAAATCAAAGAAAAAGTCAACAATGAAGAAGATGAGAGAAGTCCTTCAAAAGAATAATGCCATTCATAGTGAATACTATAATTACGCGGAAACAAATTGGATCGAAAAATCGAAAAACTCATGGCTTGAGTTCATACCTCTCACCATTGACGTAGTTCCAGAAGCTCTCCTTTTGTTCCAGGTACAGATACTTCTAACCTATCAACACTTTGAAATTGATGGTCCACATTTATGGTTTCAATTTTCAACATTTACAAACAACATTCATGAGGTTTCATTCCACCATTGATTGAAAAGTGATGGTAGCCATAATTTGATGGGGTTTTGGCTATATATATAGATGGGTTTGGTCCCTACATGCGACAATTTGTCATTTGATGTATTAATGTGGTAGTTTTTTTATTTCTTCATACATTAAATAACAAACTGCCGCATATGATAATTACTGATAGTCTTTAACTATGAATAACATCACTCCCTGTAGAATGGATAGTTACACAAAGGTCACAAGATGAGAACATAGTTTCCTATCCCCATGTAAAATTTACAATTAATAAACTTCACCAATGCCAACCACCATACCTAACAAAGTTAAAAGATTAGAGCAGCTGAAATTTCACCAGATCATGCTTGCCACTACATTAAATAAGTAACAGACTCATGAAACTTGACATCAAGCCATTCATTGATGCACAGAGCCGACTAGGGGTTCACATTGAAAGATTTCAGTTAAACCACCAATCAAATCCAAAGTGCAAAAAGAGAAAATTCTTCTGTTCTGCCAACGGTCATCTGATTACAACTAGGCATTATGAATTTTATCTCATTTTCACTTTAATCAAAATAGCCTTTTTTGTCTTTAAACTTTTTCTTGAGTTCTTTGGAAGATTATTCTTTTTCCCAGTTTTGGTTCAAATAAAAAAATAAGGGGGAAATGCAATCAAGGAGTTCGGAGAAGGACTGAAAGGTGGCCAGTGCAACAGATACGAGAAGAAAATATAAGATTCTGCTGAATTGAAGACTTGAGTAAAGAAACTAATGTGCATGAAAGAAATTAAATGAGTTTTTCCTTGTTTTTAAAGAGCTTGGTTGTAGAAACACCAGAATTATGCTAAGCTAAATGCAGACCAATTTAAAACAAGAATTCAACCAAACTTGAAAGACATTGAATCACGAAATTAAAACATGAATAACATTAACAGAAGTTATAGGACATTGTTCATTAAAACAGCAACACCATTTATCAAAATTCTTCCAAATTCGTATATCAATTAAAGTTCATCCTCCATCCTCAAGTACTCCCCAATATCAGCATGGTGATGCACCACAATCCCATTCGGATCCATTTTCCTACAATCCTGCGTGCTCTTGGCTGCAACCCCGAACCCCAACGGCACGTCCGCCATCGAATACACCACCACCCCATCATTCACTTGAATATTCTCAGTAATTCTCCCCACCCCGCCTTTCAACACACTGTTTCCGTACAAAAAGCTCATCTCCGAAGTGGGTTTTAGCCAAACCTTGTGCCTAGCATTAGCAGCCAATAAATTCAAACCCTGAATCGTCAAATGGAATTTATCACTCTTGGTGAATTTTCCTATTTGGGTTCCCATAGACACCAACTTCTCCCGCTTGATGTTGGTGGCCCGTTTGACTAATGATTCAGATACATAGTACACCCGGTTCTTCTGGAGGCGGAAGCAGTAGCGTCCTGGGTTCGGATCGGGTCCTTCGTAGGATGGGTTTTCCATCACAATTTTTTGCAGATTGTTTCCCACAAATTTGTATAGCTTGTCAAAAACTACTGTCGTCTCCTTCTCGTCCAGCGGCCTCATGGCGATCTCGAATTCGTCTCGCTCCAGTCCAATCTGGGGGTTTTTGTCTTCAGGGGTTTTGCTTCATTGAAAGGAATTCAGGGGCTAGGGCAAGTGGTAACGCCTGCCAACTGGGCCGACTATTGGAGCACATACGTAGCGTAAAAGACGCGGAAAAATTCATTATCAAGTATTAACTTTGACATTTACAAAAATAAAGTCTAAAGTTTTAAAATTGTAAAAATCAAGTTTTTACTTTTTATTAATTAATTAAATATTTAATTATGCAATTTCGTCACATATATCTTATTAATTGATTAAAAATTAATTTTAGGTCACATCTTATCAAATTAATTGATCACATATTATTTTTGAGATCACAAATCAAAAAATTTATAGGTTACAGTTAACTTCGTTGGTCACAAAAATTTATGGTCACAAGTTATTTCTCAACCACGAATTAAAATTTTTTATAGGTCACATATTGAAAAAAATCAAAATTTTTTACCGTTCACAACTCTATTACAGTGAGTCATCGTCACAAATTCTAGGTCACATACACCCACGACTGTCGCCACCACCACATCCAACATTCCAACCACCACAAAATATTAGATTCACATAACCACCACTGCCAACAAAATCACTGCACAACCATCGCAAAACAATACTTGGTCACAGATTTGAGAATGAAGAAATATGAAGAAAAACCCAAAACCACCACAAAGATCCAAAATCTGCACAATCACAGCCACCACCAATGCCAGTACACCACCAATACTTGGTCACAGATCTAAGAATGAAGAAATATAAAGAAAAACCCAAAACTACCACAAATCGCCACAGCCAACACGGGAGGCGGAATTGGAAGGATTGTTTAGTGCTCAAGCAGTGT